GTTTGCCAAGCAATATTTGTTCTTATCCAGTCAAGTACCATCAGCAGATTTGCAATGAAAGTACTTTTCATGTACTGAATGTATTAAAYCTTCTCCTATAAGAAGGCCGAGCTTTCTCGGCATCGTCCAGCCATGCCAGTATTCTTCTTCGAGTATCGGACTGGGAAGGRTCCTTATAATCTTCAGGTAGCATACATTTGTTGTTATTACTGGCAATCTTTAATTCTTGAGTTGTGTATTTTGGTGTTGCAGGTGGCAGCTTTACAACTGAAGACTGATGCTCGCGCTTCTGTCTAGAACTGCTTAAATCCTCGTTTATTTTGTGATTAACAAATGCTTTTGGTAGAACTGGTTTTTGTTTGGGTGTTTTTGGTCCGTCCATTCCTTGACTTGAGAATATCATAAGCTCACAGATGGCYGGGAGCGTAGACTCTTCTTCGGGATTATCAGGAAARACCTCGATCTCCTTTCTCTGCTCCACTTTTGTATTTTCTGGTAAAAGAAATCGTACACGAACACTTCTTTTGGCATTAATGTTGCTTGTGCTATAAATGTTTCTACCAGAATCCAGAGTAGTTTCTCGTGTAYCAYCGAGTTTAGTCTGCCTGCATATCTTAAYAGCTCGTGTACCCATCAGGGCCGATTTTGTCACATTTGTTCAAAGAGTCTGTAAAAACAGAACTCAAGCCGTATACACAACAGTGGTTTCTAAGTCTTTTGTGATCTTGTTATAGAGTGTTGGTTTTGATGTACAATGACGTAAAGGTCTCTAGGGAATCTCCTTGAATTAAACCATTAGCCAACACTATTTTCAAAGGTTTTTTGTCAGTACGCTATGTATCGATCACAAGAAGACGATGGTATATTAAGACGTAATCAAATTCTATAGCAAAAATGACACGGATAGACATGGAGAGGGAAAAAAAATTAGAGGAATTATTTAAAAATCCAAAAAATATCTACAGGAATTCAGTAAATKAATTTGAAGTATCTATTTTTCTTCGTACAATAATATCCGACATCGCGATTCGTCGCGTCAAAGAAATGACCTTTTCGCTAGTTGGTAGTCTCTTCACAAATTACCTGTGTAAACACAGACTATGATATCMAATGGAAGATCACAAACAGGTCTTTTGCTAAAATATTATGACTTGTAAACAATAAACAATGAACTGTCAAACACCAAAACGAAATATATATATATATATAGCATCAACTTTTCACCAACAAAAATATCGAGAAAACAAACGAAGAGCAAGATAAAATACAAGTAAGTTTGTTAACAATGTTACTATTTTACGTTATATTTATTATGGGTATTGTTTCACTCTTGTCAAACTGTGTCTCCAGTCTATAATCAAATCAAGAAATTCTTGTTCTTAAAACCCCATTGCTTTATAAAATGTCATTATAATTTAAGTATATAGCTACACATCATTTATGTAATTGGTCAYGATATCAAAATATCGATCAATGTCCTTTACTATGACTCTTTTGAACATTATGGGCCCCTACTAAAATATACTATTAAGAAAGAAAGAAGCGTTGTATTCATCGTTGATAGTAATATTTGTGAAGATTTTAGATGATGTACAGTGCCCTATTGACCATCATTGGAATGATTGCCATGGCAATACGTGCAGGTATATGAAAGCAGTTATAGTAGAAATAATGATTTAGGGTTTGATAACCGCGTCTGATAGTTTTGTTTACATTTGTGTGGTATAGMTATATTATACATGTTCTTGTGTTTGGCATTAATAGAAGATGGAGAGCTTAACTTGGGCCGTCATTACTATGAAGGAGATATTCGTCTCACCCAGAAACAGGAAGCTTGGCTAGAGAAATCTAGCGATGGTTCACATGTAAGAGCACTAACCAGCGACCAAGATCGCCTATGGCCCAATGGCGAGGTTCCATATGTTATCGACCCTTCATTGAGTAAGTATTGGCCATTATTATTACTGTTATACATTCCACTTAAAGCTTACATTACTGCTGTATATCTTCTAGGAGATGAATCCAAACAGAACATACAACAAGCTGCACAACACTGGAATAGCARAACTGATCACTGTATTAAAATTATACCAAAACAGCCATCACACCAAAACTATGTTGAGTTTGTCTATGATGGAGGGTAAGTAGTATCACACTCTCCGTGACACAGGAAAACCGAGCTGATGTGAAAACTGAAGCTAAATCCATCAACACTTATACATATGTTAGTCGAATAAGGAATTGCATCTTTATGCATTTTGTATGTATTTTGATGTATTTTGTTAATGTTTTAAGATGTTCATCCAATCTTGGGATGCTTGGCACCGGGCGGCAAACGATTTCGGTGGGTGATGGGTYGACGGTCATTTGTGGATTGGGTAACATTATACACGAAATTGCACACGTTATTGGTTTCTTCCACGAGCACAGCAGACCGGACAGGGACACGTACATTCGAGTGACGTGGGACAGTATTAAACCAGGTAGAAAGATGTAATGAAAATAGAAATGAAATTGCTTATTTACGGTTGGAGCAAGAATGCTATTACTGATGACCACTGTCTTGYAGTTGGAACATTTTACTATCTCATATGCGGTTTGTAGGCAGCTCCTTGTTCTTTCTCTTAATCCGGGGATTTTCTTATCTTTGTTGAGMTAGGCTGAGGAGTATTGCGCAAATCATATAGTGAGAATTAAATAAAAAAGTTTCACACCTGTTCATTCATGGTATTTCCTTATGTTAATGAAAGGGTACGAAAAAAACTTCTACAAAATGCCACCGGCAACCATYAATTCTCATGGTGTAGGGTAYGATTACGGCTCTGTGACGCACTACGGAGAAAAATTCTTCACCAAAACCGGCGAACCGACCATCGTTCCTCTACAACCTGTTCCCACAGACGTCACGATCGGACAACGCRTTGGCCTGAGTAATATGGATATACAGCAAGCGAAATTATTGTATGGTTGCCCTGGTAAGTGACAGCCACATAAATAAGATTTATTCATAACTTTATTGGATAAAGGTGGCTGAATAAAAACTGTAAAATAAATGGATGCCATCGCGTGGGAAGAGGTACCACTAATCGTTCTTCGCATTTTCAATCAAATAAGCTTCAGTTACCAAAAGTACAGTAGAGGTGCCACTGACAGACAAGGGAGAAGAGAGAAAAATGGCGATACGGCGAYACAGCAAGTCTGACGACAAATCACGTGAGTGATTGAAACGAAGGGCTTCAGAGAAAATTGAATAATTTTTAATGCATYATTTCAATATCAGGCGCTAAAACACATGCAAGTAAAGTGCGGGATAGTAATATKGAAGGAGAGCAAGATGAAGCTTCTACAAGAAACGACCAGTCTTCAACTAAGAGTAAATCCAAGGGAATTGAAGATAAAACCGCTAAGAAAAGGAGAAAAGCTATTGGACAAGAAGATAAAGTGGTGGTTAGCGAGCAAAACAACAAATCATTTGGTAACATAATGTATTCGTTAATGGCGCATTTTGGACTMAATTAGTGACTTTGTGCTTTATATCACAGAATTAAATGGAGAGCTCAACCTTGGCCACCATTATTTTGAAGGCGACGTTCTTCTTACTCCAAATCAAAGTGAAATGTTGAAAAAGGCACGAATGAAAGATGGGCTGCATTCTAGAGGATTGACAAATGACATCTCAAAGCTATGGCCAAATGGAGTTGTACCATATGTCTTTGGACTTGGCCTTAGTAAGTCACTCTAATTATCTCAGCATGCGTGATGGGTGATTAACATTAAACTAATTATTAACGTATGCTCAACATGAGACCTTGCTACTTGTTTTATACTCACTGGTTAATTTGCACCCCTAGGACCTAGAATCAAAGGTATTATTCTTTCTGCTATTAAAGAGTGGAACACCAAGACAAAATGTATAAACATAAGACCCAAGTCAGCACAAGATTTCCACTATATCGAGTTTGCTTATCAGGGGGGGTATGTATTCTGTTACTAAACAATAGCATGTCAGGTTGAAACTAATGGATGAATAATGTAGCTTCGCTRACATTCAACGTAAATTCAGAAAGAGKTGTGCTTTCAGGTGTTCATCGTACATTGGTATGGTCGGTAATAGACAATTCCTCTCCGTGGGAGGTCCAAAAATTCAATGCCAATATGGAAATATAGTTCACGAACTTGGACATGCATTRGGATTCTATCATGAGCAAAGCAGACCAGACAGAGATCAACATGTAAAAATCATATGGGATAACATTAAAGACGGTAAAATATTTCATCAGTCTCAGTTATTTACAAAAGTGCACTTTTTAGTGTCAATGAATTGTGTCAAGTGTTATASTATCCAGAGAAACCAACTGGTCTTYGCGGAGTGGAAATCTTTAAAARCSCTTACCAGCGTACATGTATATATATTCCAAACAAATCAATTATCTTTTCAGGATATAAAGTTAACTTCGAAGGAGAGACCACATCAACTATCGATTCTCGTGGAATCAAATACGATTTCGACTCAATCATGCACTATGGAGATAAGTTTTTCTCAAAGAAGCCTTGGTTAAAAACTATTGAAACCAAGCCTAAACCAGGGAAACCTATTGGTCAGCGGAGAGGTCTTAGTGATCTAGATATCAAGCAAGCTAATTTGCTTTATAACAAATGCAATGGTAAGAAAAAATTGGAGTGAATGGATAAATAGCAAAATGAACTGTGAAGTACAGTATTTGTTTATTGCAATTTCTTTTTTCGCTGTCGATAGGTGTCCGTAAAAACACAGTGACCATTCCACCAGACATTGTTATTGCAACTAAAGCTGCATCAACAATAAGCACACCAGCCAGGAAATCACGAATTCTCAATTTGGCGGTTAAAAAGTTTGTCAAAAACGTTAGCAGCAAATCTGGACAAGGAAAAATAATCTCTGGCACCATATCGAAGCATAGCGAAATATTCGATACGGAGTCCGATCCAATGATCGATGCAGATGATACGGGAGTTGCGACAATGGATCCTAAAAAATCAAATGCTTTAAGTTCTAAGGAAAAGAAGCTATTTCAACAAATTACTAATAACAAAGCGGCAGATATTGAACAGATAAGCGGTAGGTCTTGCATCTTAWCACCATCATCAACTAGCATCATGGATTGCATCATAATCTCTCATAAATCATATTGATCGACAGGCGAGGAAAACATAGGAAAGCACTACTTTGAAGGAGACATGATGCTATCCAACGAACAGAAGCAATGGTTTGACAGTGCGATGGTTGGAAGTAATCCTGCAAAGAAAAGAGCATTGATTAAGAATCCAACGTATTTATGGAAGTCACATACAGTGCCGTACGTCTTCCATAAAAGCGTAGGTAAGGAACTTATATTCACATATATTTAACAGTCAAATTAGATTACTGCAGTACCGCTCGGCGCCTCTTGCGATCTTCATGGATAAACCCGGCTTTAGTATACTTCTCAGAAGCAGTACCTGGTTAACTCACGGAAAACTCATGTGCCGAGAGACAGTGCTCGTGTAGGAGTGAGAAATTTGAGATACAAAACAGAAGCTAAAAAGTGCTTCACTTGCCTTTTTCATGAGCGATATACAAGAATTTAAATATTTATTGAATATATTATAGATAAGATTGGAGTTAGATTTGCAAAACTAGCGATGAAGCATTGGAAATACCACACTTGCCTACGTTTTCCTAAGAGAAAGAATGAGAAAGATTACATCATGTTTGTATTCGAAGGGGGGTAAGTTTTTTAAGTGTTCTTAGTACTAATCAGTAAATACCTTTCACAATGCGATATTGTCGTTTTCTGCTTGTTGTTCTGTAATCTATAACATACAACGCACTGTACAACTTCGTCTGTCATGCAACTCACACATACAAACTCACACCTTAGCCGTGGTACAAATCTCCCCCACTTGGGGAGGGGTGCGCAAATCATTACAATATTAACTGGTCATCTTTCCTTTAAGTTGTTCTTCTCGTGTTGGCCGAGTTGGGGGTATGCAAAAAATCAACATTGGTGCTGTAAATAGGTACTGCAAAAGGGGCAACGTTATTCACGAGATTGGCCACGCCCTTGGATTCTTCCACGAACAAAGCAGAACAGACAGAGACCAATATGTTASAATTATTAAAAAGAATGTCATTGGATGTAAGACAAAACTTTTTACTTTATTCATGCCAACAACCATAAAACATGAGACTTTTCTTTTCATATCAATAATATCATAATATATAATATCTCGTATTAACCTGTGCAATAATTGAGAGACATTGTCTTTTAGGGTATCGCAACAACTTCCTCAAATTTGACGAGAGCTTCGTGGATGARCGAGGTGTTCCATATGACTACAACTCAGTCATGCACTACGGTCGATCCTTCTTTTCTAGAAACCATTTTTTCTACCCAACTATTGTCCCTCTCTTTAAAACAATTCATGACAGACCGGTKAAGATAGGTCAACGATATGGGCTGAGCGATATGGACATACTACAGGCAAATTTACTTTATAATTGCAAAGGTAAACCTGATTCATAACAATGATCTAGACAATAACAAATGATGATGTCCTTCAAAAAAAGACAATATCAGAAACCGTTCTTATTGTACAATACAATACATTAAAAATTTACTAGGTGAGAAACGCTTGACAGAAGAAAAGAGCAACAAGCTTTACGAGAAAACACAGGGAGTCATTGAAATAGAAAAGGACAACCAAGGTACAATGCTACGATGAAGCATCTACACATATGTATTTCTATATAGGCCCATGCCTATAATATAATATAATCTATCTGTAGGCCCTAGGGTTATAACGTA